ATCCAAGTCCGTGAGCTTGCTAGGCAGGTACTTAGACAGCTGAGCTATCTCCCCGCCCAGGATAGACATGTAACCATATGATAATAGGCTTCAAAGTTGAGACCTTGGTCCCCCTTTCCTGACTGAAGGGTCATATCCTGTTGTGCTGCCGAGCTGAAGAGTCGCTATTGCAAGCAGACATTAAGAGGTCTCCTGGTGAGCCTGCCTCAGAAACAGCAAAAGTAACGTCAGGTCTGTGTTAGTCATTTTCTTGTCACTGCTCCAAAACACCACGGACCCAAAACTTACAGGAAGAGGAACTAGCATTTGGACTCACAGTTCTAGTTGTAGTTCTAGTTCTGACTGGCTCCAGACAGTATGGCAGAGGCAAGATGAGCAGCCCCAGGCAGCCAGCAAATGGAGAGAAAAGGGAATAGATGAAGAAAAACTACGTGCTTCTAGGTCGGGCCACTCCTCGCCCACCTCCCCCCAGGTCCTCCTCCTAAGGGCACATCCAGGAACTACTGAACTCAGTTCTCCATGACCAAAGCGTCTTCCAAACACAGGAGACTTGTCAGGTGGGTGTTAGATCTAAAGTATGAAAACACCATTCTGGATTCTGAAAAAGATATCTTTAAACTATTGTCTTTGGGTTTTGTAAGCAGAAGAAATATCATTTAAACCAATAAGTAAGGGGGAAAAGCACACACATTTATGCAGAAGTTCCTGTTGCTGTGCTATCTTCCCACGGGTGAAGACACACCCTCAATGGTGCTTATGTTCATCTTATAATCATTCATAAACTTAAAATTATACATCACCAATTTATAAACTGAAACATTCAGGCATATTGTTTATTTAAGCATGTATCATAATCCATTCTTGATTTCATTAGACTTTTCAAAGTTAGCAGCTTCTTTGCAAGAAATATTATTGCCTTTGTAAAACCTTAGAAGGTAGTGCCTGACGAGGTCCAAGCACTCAGAGAAGAGAAGCAGGAAATTGTGCTTTGTGTCCTTAACTGTTTTTACAGTACCAGTGTTTTACTTGCAAAGGTTGATCTGAAAACAGTTTTACCCAATATGTCACTTTTTTATTTTGCTTTTATTATGTATTTAGTACGGGGTTTCACTAAATAGATCAGATTTGTAGTGATCCTCTTGTTTTCAGCCTCCCAAGAACTGGGATTACAGACCACCACCACCACACCCAATTTCCAGTAAATCACTTCTGATTGAATGAGCTCTGCACATCCTGATATTTCTTAAGTATTTTGCAGCTCACGTATGAATAGATAATGAAACGTGCCTAATATAAATTTGACACAACTTGTGACTACTTTTTCACTTGATTTTTTCCCCTTTGTTTTTGGGATGCTTGTCAGTGTCTGAACTTTCATTTTAATTCCCACAGATGTCACTTTCTCACCTTCTAAAAGTGTTTGAAAAATGGCAAAGAAATGATGTCAGTTTTTTTCAGCTCTGAGCAGGAATTTGAGTTCTCCCAGGAGAAACATTTCTTGATTTTTCTGTGTGGCCCCAGTACCTTGGACAGTACCACCCATACACCATCTTTGAATATTTACTTTGGAACATGAAATCTTTTGTCCTTCATGCTTGTGTTTTGTATCACTGGAGATATCAATCACCTGGCATTCAACATGCTTTCATTTGCTGTGGTGATTGTCTGGATGCAAGCTACTGCCAAATTGCCTTTATTTCTTTTATTAATGAAATATTTGAAAGGATATTTTACACTAATATCCATGTTAGCACGAACATCTATTATTGTTGCAAGATACTTTTCTCCAGTTCCTTACAAAACCACTATACTAACTTAAAAGAAGTTTAATTTCCTTTAAAAAGGACTCCTTCCAAAGTTCTCGTTCTCTCTCTCGCTCTCTCTTGCTCTCTCTCTCTCTCTCTCTCTCTCTCTCTCTCTCTCTCTCTCTCTCCTAGAGCACAAAGGAATTCTTAGAGGTAGGAGGAAAGCCTCCATGCGTTCCTCCGGGGAAAAAAATAAAAAGAGAACTGGAAGAAAAAAGAAAAAAATCACTCTCGTTTCAAAAATACCACTATGCAACAGTGTGGATCATTGTAAATTGTAAACGCATACATTCTGACCTCTCTTTTATACCGGTATTTTATAAGTGTATTGTTCCTAGCTACTGTTACTCACGTGCTCTGCAACAAAGATTGGATCCCAACCACTGCTTATTATTTCCACAGAATACACTGGCATTCAGTAAAGGAGAAGGAAAGTGTAGCCAGAGCTGGCTGTCGGGCAAAGCCCGTTTGGAAGCGGTGTTTGCTCCCTGGGCACTGAATTAGTCATGGTTTCTCAGGAAGCCTTTGTCTGCGGGACAGTGGGCCTGGCAGCATTCTCTCTGCGTGGCAGCGACATCGGAAGACTCCGCCCGGTCTGGGGGCGGGGAGGCGGCGCCGCGTGGAGAGCTCGGCAGAGCGAAAGTGAGCGAACAAAGAGAACTGAGAGCCGCCCAGCGCCCGCAGCTGCATCCGGAGACTCCGATCACGTCCCGAAGGCTGCTCCGCTCCGCCTCCCCGGGAAAAGAGCTCTCGTAAATAATTGATGGAGATTGATCCGACCCGAGACAAAGCTTTGCAGGAAACGAATGCATCCGGCTCGACGTGCTTTTTGGAGCTTCTGCCGAGCGCGGGGTACGAGAGAGGAGCCAGGACTCTGAGCGCGCCCGGCCTCAGCGCTCCCGACTCGGGCGTGGCTCCGGCCTCGCTGCCGTCGCGCACCCACTCCCTTTCACCCCTGGCCCTTTTCCCCACCTCCGCCTCGCTTCTCTGCAAACTCGCCACTCTCTGGCTACCGCTGCTCTGCTCGCCCGTGCAAGCCTGCTCTGCCCGAACCTACCCAGCAAGCTCAGATCTGCAGCGCGCTGCGCGTCCTGCCGGGCGTCTGGCACAGCTTGGCACCCGGGTTGCACCCGCTGCGCGCGGAGCTCAGCGTCGCCAAGTCTCCCGCTTTCGCCATTGTTCCGAGAGCCTAAGTGGTGTGGAACTCGGCCCGGCCCGGAGTACTGCTCCACCAGAAAGGCGTCCTTAGTATCACGAGGCTGAACTTCCCTGGGCTCTGAAAGGCACAGACACGAACCGCGGTCTCCAGAGAACCAGCAAGAAAGCGCTTTTGGTCCGAGTCCACTTCTTGGAGACACCACCTCTGCTGAGAAGTGAGCGGGTCTGGATTCCTAAAGGGGATGAGAAGTGGGTGGGTGGGCCTGCAGATAAAACTGGAGATTCCTTGTTGGTTTGGGCCGTGCCGGTTGCTTGGGTGGCCGCTTCCAAAGGGGAAGCCCTGAAGAGATTTGACACTTTGAGGGAGTCACGTGACAGCAGCCGGGCCCTGCAGCCCGAGCTTTCTTCTGGGTTAGAACTGCCCAGAACCAAATGGAAGTGTTATCTCATGCTTCTCACCTCTGCAATGCCTCAGTCTAATTGAAAACAAAACTCAATTTACCTTGACCATATATCCTAGTTGGGACTGACCCTTGTTGCTTGACTAGAGCAGACAGTCCAGGTGTATTCTGTCTCCAGATGTAGAAAGTTGACACGCAACTCTTCTGTCCTGTGAAGTCTGTCTTCTAATTTATATTCCAATGTCAGGTGAAAGAAGATCCCAGAAAGAAAGAGGTGGAAGACACTTTTAGGAATTTATTGTTTTGCGGATTACTTACAAAATGGAAAATGACTGTATGCTTAAAATAGTTGAACTAACCCTAGTAAGGTAATCAGCAGTTAAATATCCTGAGAGGAGGGACTTCTTTGCAAAGCTTTATGCCTAGTTATGCCCTTTTACTGCTTTAAAAAGATATTATATTTCCAATGAAAAGCCACCAAATTATCTAGCTAACTGGATCACTAGTGAACAAATCTAGGATACAGTAGCTTGCTGTTTTCCAGACTAAAGGAATCACTCATGGATTTCTCTTGGAAAGCTACACAATGCCTACTGATCTTAACCACCAGGAGGGAAGACACAGCCTCTTTCTGAGGGCAGCCCAGTAAGGAGCAGGCTCCTTGGAAGCAGGACAGCTGATAGAACCACCTAAGGAGTTTAAGAAGGAGTGTATATTTTCTAGCTTGCAATGGCATTAAGATTAAACTGACTTCCATATCTACAGAATAGCCTTGGAGTAGAAGAATTCAACCCCTGCAACTTAAGAACCACCCGTCAGCTTTTCCAAAGTATTTTTTTAAAACTAGAAGCTAATCTCTCTGAGGCTGTGAATGACTACATCACACAAATAATTTCTATCGCCATTATTTTCTTGAAACTGGGTTGATGTAATCATTCATGTTTTCTTTCAGTTAAAAGAAAAAAATTTTTTTTCTTTTAGGCCCATTCTAAAGAAAATTGGGCGCATTGCTCTAAAAACATTAGAGATTGGATCTGCTCGGGCAAAAAGATATCATTTATTCATTGCAAACCCCTTAGGGACCTGGTTCATGATATTTTTTTCTCTAAGTGACACAGGAGAACACTAACTATAGAAAACTTTTTGCACTAAACCGGCCTTTAAATATAGATTTAATGGCAAGGGAAGCACAAGTTGAAAACACAGAGGTTTGACTATTAGAATACGTGCATATCTCCTTTCTCCTCGACATCCTCTGCTTTTGCATTGTCCCTCCCTTCCCAGAATTTACTTGCTGACCCTGTATCGCACGCACCCTTCCCACACCTGCTGTCTTCAGAAGGTACAGTTACTTTCAGAGCCATCATTTTGCTGACTTAGAGACTTGAATCAGCGCCACCTCGGGCGAAATGCGAATTGGCAGCTTGGCCTCCCGTTCCCATAGTCTAGGCTCTGGCCTCGCTTGTCCTTTGGGGGGCTTCGGGCGCGCACAGCCGCGAACAGTGCAGACACCCTGCGCGTATTTTCTTTTGTCTCCGCCCTAGCTTGGAAAGGAAGGTTGGTGGCGGCGAGGTGGGAAGAGGACGAGGTCGAGATGGAGGATTCCGAAGGCATCCCATAGCTCTCCGCGAACACCATGAGTCAGCCACCGCCCGGGGGCGCTGTCCCCTCCGCCGGCGCGGCTCCCGAGGCCCGCCTGCACCCCGAGGGCAGCAGCCGGAAGCAGCCGCGAGCTCAGTCCCCCGCCAGGCCCAGGGACAGCTCCCTCCGGCAGGCAGCCGCTGCCACCAGGACCCCCGCGGGGGGCGGCGCCAAGCTCAACCCGGCCCGGCAGCCTCAGTCAACGCCGGGGAGCAAGGCGGGCAGTAGAGGGGCGCCCGGCGCCGGGGCGCGGGCAGGGGGCGGGGCGGAGAGGGCGGCGCCCCCGGCGCCCAGAGGCGCTGTCCAGCCCACGCCGGGTGCTGAAGCGGCAACCTGCGCGTCCCCCGGCCCCGGGGGCCCCAGGAGGCCCGGGCCGCCAGAGGAGTCCGCGCGGGAGCTCGAGCCGGCGACCCCGAAAGTCGGGGAGCCCCCTGCGTCCGCGGAGGGGGGCGGCGTGGACCGCGAAGGAGGAGGAGTCGGCAGCGGCCCGGCGGAGCGCGAGGGGGGCGCAGCGCAGGCGGCAACGCCCCGGGGCTGGCGAGGGCGAGGCGCGCGCGGCGCGCAGAGGGGCGGCGGCGGGGAGGGGGCGTCCGCGTCCTCTCCCGGCTGGGCGAGCGGCCGAGGGCCGGGCCCCGGCGGCAGCAGGAACCCCGGAGGCGGCGCGGCGGGGGTCGGCGGCGCGAGCTACTGGAAGGAAGGCTGCCTGCAGTCTGAGCTCATCCAGTTCCACCGCCAGAAGGAGCGAGCGGCGGCCGCCGCGGCGCAGATGCACACGAAGAACGGCGGCGGTGGCCGGGGATCCCCTGTGGCCGGCGCCCCGGGCCTGTGCGAACCGCTCGCGGGCCCCGCCGCATCCCCCATGGCTGCGGCCGCCGAGGGCCCTCAGCCGGGCGCGGAGGCCAGCGCGGGGGGAGCAGGGGCCCTGCAGCCCGCGGCTCCCCCGCCCTCGCAGTCGCAGCTACTCCAGGAGCAGGAGGAGATGCAGGAGGAGATGGAGAAGCTGCGGGAGGAGAACGAGGCGCTCAAGGTGAGGGCGCTGGGGTTCAGGACCAGGGCGTGTCCTGGGTGCGGAGCCCAAGCTTGCGCGGTTCCGGAATCAAAGATGGGGGGTGGGGTAGGCCTAGTCGGGGTGGGAAACAACCTGCTTTCGCTGGAAACCCAATCCGGGCCTAGAGTTCTCTAACCAAGGCCTGTACCGCTTTGGCACGGAGTAAGCCTGAGCGAGGCCGTACATGAAAGCCTAGAGGGACCCGTTTTTCTAGTTTCTTCTTTCGGCTCCTTGTCACTCCTGTCTCACGCAAGCCTCCCCCACCCCACACACACACGCAAAAAAGAAAAAAAATCAAGCTGGGATTGATGGGGCATGCCGTGGGTCCGAGGGGCTGGAAGCCAGGCTGGCTGTCCCCCTTCCTCCTGTCGCCGCCCCAGAACGAAATTGAGGAGCTTAGAACCGAAATGGACGAGATGAGGGACACTTTCTTCGAGGAGGACGCCTGTCAGCTGCAGGAAATGCGCCACGAGTTGGAGCGGGCCAACAAGAACTGCCGGATCCTGCAGTACCGCCTCCGCAAGGCCGAGCGCAAGCGGCTCCGCTACGCGCAGACCGGCGAGATTGACGGGGAGCTGCTGCGCAGCCTGGAGCAGGACCTCAAGGTGCGTGGCGCCGGGCGCGACGTCTTGGGTAGCGAGCAGCGCTGATCACGAAATGTCAGACGTCTGGGAAGGACTGGCGGGGGGGGGGGTGAAAAGTGCAATGAGCCGAGAATCAGCGAACGGTGGGGAGCAAGGTTGGGGGTGCGGGTGGGGCTGTCCCGCAGTACCTGGCTCTTCCTGAAGTGGTGGGTAGCCTTGGACATCCTGCTCCGCACTGATTGGCCTCCAGGGTCTGCCTTTCCAGGGAGGCCGGGGGAATTGGGCCTAGGAGCGCAGGGCCTGACCCCCAGACAGGGGGCAGCACTATAATATCAGGGTTAAAATGGTTTCTGACTGTCCTGCCCACCCAGGCCCTGACCTTGCTAAAAGTAACCACTGCAGGTACTTCTGGGGGGAAATAAATAAATAAAACTGCCCAAGTTATAGCTTATCTTGAGGAGTGAAACCAACCAAGGTCCTCCTTCATAATCTCTCCCAGGGAGACATCCCAACTTGGCATGTAGTTTTAGGTAGGATAGGTGTATTCTCTGTGTTCAGTTTGATTACAGGCAGAGTCACTGACAGGGCAAACCAGACTTTGAATTCACCAGCTGGAAGAGACAGCTGGATGCACTTCAATTGCATTAAACTCATCATACTATAAAGAGAAGCTGGAATTGCAGAGAGCTAGAGTCTTCTGAGAGAGTCCTTGTTGTCTTATTTTTCCTGCTTCCCAACACTGTTGAATGTTAGTGCTCCTTATGCACTAGGCACTATGGCAAACATTGCTACATACCTTATTATTTCATAAAATTTAGAAAACTCAAGTAGAGATTATTAATGGGGCCAACTTACAGGTGCAGAAGCTGGGCTTTTTACATGCCAGTGCAAGGAGGCAGCCAGGCCCGCTGTGCACCCAGGTGATGGAGCTAGCTTGCGTCCTGGTCTTCTGTACCAGAAGGCTCCACTTCTCTTCCAAACCCTACAATTTCCAAGATAATCTCAAAATTTGGGGCAAAACTGCAGTTATTGAAACTAACCTCAGGGGCTAAGATGTTTCCTAAATTTCAATACCTAGAATTCTAAGATCAAAATTTAAGTTACATGTCCCCACTTGACAAAACTTCTTTTCTCTATTCTTTAATGCACACAGGCGAAACCTCTACCTTACGGCTTTCATGTAGATTTAGGAGACAGATATAACCTCTCTCGATGTGTTACACCACAGTGGAATGTTTATTGCCGTGGTGTGCCATGGAAGTTGAGAGCTCGAAGTCTGAATGTCAGAGGTCATAGCTGCTTGTTAGCCGTGTGACCTTGAGCATGTTATTTCACCTCTTAGACTTGGCTTTCTCTATAACACAGAGAGAATGAAAATATCTTCCTCATGAAACTGCTGTGAGTCGTACACACTTGATACGTATGAAAGGTTTATGTGGAGAGCACCTGGAAGCCTAGCTGGGCATGATAAGCACTTTGTGAGTGCTGATGCTTAATATGTCACTATGAAGAAGAGCATTTTATTGTTGCAAATGTTTTATTGTAGGTTGCCAAGGACGTGTCTGTGAGACTTCACCATGAACTGGAAAACGTGGAAGAAAAGAGAACCACAACAGAGGATGAAAATGAGAAACTGAGGCAACAGCTTATAGAAGTTGAAATTGCGAAGCAAGCCTTACAGAATGAACTAGAAAAAATGAAAGAGGTTAGTATTTGATTCTATGATGAGTTACTGCATTTTTTTAAGCTCTTTAGAACACAATTCTGTGGACTAAAAGAATTCTCTTTATTTTATGATTGCAAGTCAATTCTGGTTCTTGCCTCATGTAGTAACAAATATTTAATACTAATAATAAGCAGCAAAAAAAATTCTAACTTGAGCCTTGCCTCTGGTTTGGCATTCTGAGAGCTGTGACTGCTGTTCTATCACTGGTTTGCCTAAATGTGTGCTAATTAAGTAAACTACTCAGCATGCCAACATGAAGGTTGTCAAGAGTATAAGAAAATGGGGCTTGCAGTAGTTGGAGGATAAGAACTTTTTGGGATTGCTACTGAGTTCCAAGCAGCACAAACTTCTACACTGGACAAGGCTGTGAAGGTCATCAGTAAGGTCACTCATTGCCTAAAGTTTCTCTGTAGTGAAATCCTTAGGTAACTTGTGCTTAGCATGGCGATGGTGACTAACCCTATGACCTTCCCCAAATTGTGTCACATCATAGCTCTGTTCAAAGACTTTGTTTTAAGTTCAAATCTGTTTAGTTGTGATTTTAACCAATTCATTTTAGTCCTGTCCTTCTGGGTAGAGCAGTCCAAGTTCTTTTCTTCCTGTGAGTTGTAAGAAATTGAAACACATGAGTGGTTAAGCTAAAGATCGCAGAAAATAGAGAAGAAACAAAAGACCTAATGTTAATTTAAAATAAAAATTAATTGGATTTGGATTATTATACTTTTTCTTTGAAAACTACCTAAGTACGTACAGTACAACTTCTAAAAGCTATTGTTGAGACTATGCAAATATACATGTGGTCTTCTGAACTATTTCTTCTGGATTGACATACAAACTCTGAGGAAAATCCTTAGGTTTTCATGGGCTGAGATATTGAGCCACCTGTGATTTCTGTGTTTATCTCAGGATGGTGCAGAATGTCTACCATGATGTAGCAGTGGTAATTTCTACAGTGTGATCAAAAATATGTAACTATAAGGACTTGTAGACTGTGGTTTCAGTAAACTATTTCTTTTATCTATCTGTTTATATTATTCTGACTTTTAACAGGAAAATAACTTTAGTGACACATGATCCCTTGCTACTAGCTAAGGGTGGTTTTGAGGTACTGTAGATAAATAGGGAGACTGAGAGCTGTGTGGTCATCTTCACCAGTAACTGAGCAACCTTAGAAGCCTTCTAACTTTTACTTGCCTCTGTTTACTTGGTTGGAGACTGTAAAGTCTGTATCAAATGATTCTCTGCCTATCCAACTACCATGCATTTCTGTCATGAAATCTAAGACATTGCCATTTAAAAAGCATGATGTTTTAAAAGAAATCAAATATGAAATGGATATAGATATGTATATATTACCTTTAGCAACAATGTACAGTTAAGGAGAAATTGCAAGTTTTGTTTCTAGAAGTGAAGAGTAAATGGTAGATGGCTGCAGGAGGCTGGGAGCACTGCTTTACCGAAGCAGCAGAGACCCAGGTGCTTGAGCATTGGTCAAGTCTCGCTGTTCTGGAGGCTGTGAGTCCAAAGTCAGGGTTTCAACAGGTGTTCTCCTCCACAGGCTTTGAGACGGGGTCTGTGCCAGGCCCCTCCTTAGCTTGTATGTGGCTGTCTCTATGTTCCTACAGCATTCAGTAGTTGTCTGCTTCAAAATTTCACTTCTTGTAAGAATACCAGTGGGATTAGGTGAGGCTTCACTCACTGTCACATGCTCACCTCTGAAGAGAACCTGTCTCCAACTAAAGTTTCATTCTTAAATACTGGAAGTTGGGGCCACCAGCACAGGCATGTGGCAAGGAAAATAGGAGGGGAAAACATGTTTGAAGCTGCAAAAGTAGCTACTGAACAATTTCTGGCTTTAGATTCATTTATTTATTAATAAATACTAGAGGTATATAATTACTTTCATCGTGAGATTATGGATGCATATGCGCTTTTTTAAAATGTATTTGGTACAGGGTCTCACTGTGCAGCTTGGACTGGTGGTGATCCTCCTGTTTTCAGCCTCCCCAGTGCTGGGATTATAGCCGTGTGCCACCACACCCGGTCTTGGTGGCCAGCTCAGTGCGCCTGTGGGTGGTGCCGGCACAGCATGTAGTAACAGTGATCCAACCCTGGTCTCTGTGCTTGCCTAAGCAGGTGCTAAGTCCTTGAGCTATCTTGCCAACATGCATATATGCATTACATCTTAATCATTTTTACTCCTCCTTCCTTCTCTACCCGGGACAAGGAAAGAGAAAAGTCGGTGTGAGTTGCACTGCGTTCCAAACCCTGCTCATGCAAACTTGGCTGCTCTCAGACTGTTCATTTATGTAGTTAAAACATCCTAGTGAAAAGCAGTTTCACTTCATTACTAGAGACAAAGTAGGAATAAATAGCAATGTGGTGTTGTGTAGACATTTTGCAGTAGGTGTCTGGAAAGTCGTATTGAAGAATGGCACAAGAATTTTCTGACTTCATCCTATGTCTTAGAAAACAGAAATTGCTCAGATTGACTGTCCGTTAGTCAGGTAGATGGGACCTCACCTATCTCAAATAAACCCAAAATGCTATGTCATTCAGGAATAAGGCAGGCCCCTGGGAATGTCTTCAGGAAAGTCATCATAAAGATGTGTGTTGGTGCTAGGCAAATAGCTCAGCATATGAAAGCACCTGCTTAGGCAGACCCAGGGGCTGGGAGTTCGATCCCCAGGCCTGCTGTGCCAGACCTGTCCAGGGCACACTGAGATGGCAATTGAGACTGGGTGTGATGACAGGGCTTTGTAATCTCAGCACTTGGGAAGCTGAAAACAAGAAGATCACTATGAATCCGATCTACACAGTAAGACATTGTAGACCCTGTAGACCCTGTTCTAAAATAAAATAAAAAAAAAAAAGTTGTGTTTTGATCCTACTCCCCACACCCTTCCCTGTGACTCCTTAGGATTTCTAATTTTAGGTTGGGGAAATTCTGTTCCAGAATTGGGTGATGTAGACACAATGTTCAAGCCAAAGAGACAGCTCACTTTCTATTAGGGTTCCAACGACTGAACTCCAGCGCAAATCAGAGGATAAAAGCACAACAGCATAGGGTATTTAGGAACACAAGTCCCATGTATTAACTTTTAAAGAGCTTTTTAAAAACAATAGCAATACAAAATAAGTGGAGATGTGGCTGAAAATAGGGAGAGAGAGAGGAAATGGAATATAAAGATCTGAAGAACATGAAGTATACATGGGAAAAATAAAAAATATTCTGGCATCCATTTGATGTTGACTTTCATAGTGTCTAGGAAATTATCAGAAGTATTACAGATAGTTAAAAATGTACAGAAACCAGAAATGTTTCATTCTAATCTGACTTTTCTGTAATGGTAACTTTGTTATTCTCTTAAAGGTAAATATTATAGTTTGGGTGCAATGGTAACTCAACTGGTATTTTGCAGAGTGGACATTATTAACTATAGGCTTCCTTGCTTGTGAAATTAAAACATTAAAATTCTTCTTCAGTGTAATCTACGTGGACTCCCACCCCTTTTTTGTCCCTCTAGCAATTGAGAGAAACAGAAAAGGCTATGTCCTCCATTCTGAAGAAAAGATGGTGCTGAGAGATTAAAATCATAAAATATTAAGTAGAATATACTGAAGAAAAACAAGCTTCTAATTCCAAGATTTTAGTTCCTTGCATGGAGTCATACAAATGTTGAACAGCCGCACTGGGACAAATGGGCCAGCTGCTAGAGTTTGGAACCACTTCCTAAGACTTGAACTGGCTTCCAGGGTGTTGAGCGATTGCTCTCAGGACTAGGGGCTGCACAATGGCCTGTGCACCTGCTCATAGCCATCTGCTCATCTTCTCCCCTGAGAGGGTGGAGCAGGCACCCGGGAGCAGCAGAATTGGGCAGAGGCAGCATGGAGGTAATTAGTTTCATCTTCTGCAATCCATTGCTGGTATTGAAATGGCTGATATTCTGCCAACTGCAAACAAGAGGGACCTCTTAGGGGGCTGCCTTCAAGCTGAACAGCATTCTCCTAGCAGCTGTAAAGCACAGGTTGCTACTAGAAGCATGCTTTTATTAAGCAGAAAAATACATTTACCTTTTATAATCTGCAAGAGATGATGGTCTTTTGACATCAGAAATCATTAGCAAGATACAGGTTTCTGTACAACTTATTTCAAGGAATCAACGAATAGCTCTTTCAGTGCCAGGATGGATTTAAGTACAAAGATGCTAAGTGGAGGGCCATCGCCCTTCTCCATTCTCCAGGTATAGGAGGGAGTTTTATTTTCAAAGCTTTAAAATCCCCTGGCTCTTCAGAAGGGTGGAGTAATTTCTTGTCACTTTCAAAGTCTAATACTTTTAGACGAGTTAATGGCATACACTTAAAAAAATAAGTCACTGGGCCTGGGAGATAGCTTGGCTGTCTAAGCAACTGCCTGGCAAGGGCAAGGTCCCAAGTTCAATCCCTGGTATTGCGTGCCATGCTGGCCCCAAAACTGAGCCTAGTATTGCACGCCTGTAATCCCAGTGCTGGGGAGGCTGAGGCAGGAGGATTATTATAAGTCCAAACTACGTAGCAAGACCCTGAATCAACAAATAAGGAAAGAAAAAAAAAAGTCACCAACAGAGGACTAAAGGGAAGAAAGAGTAAGATGAGGAGGAGAACTGCTTATCAGATTTTTCCTTTCAGAATCTATATTCTTTGTTTTTTCTCATCCCTCACCATTACATAAGAGAATGAAAAGAAAATTTTCATAACTTTTCCCAGTCTTCACTCTAGAGGGCTCTTAACTGGCTGCACAGTAGAAATATTTATCTTGGGACTTTCATTTTCTGGGCACTTGGTTAATATAGCCCTTCTATCACAATGAGCTTTCCTTCTGCAGCACAAAAATAATTAGTGCTATAAATTTTAACAGCAGTGTCTATTTTTAATGTACTGAAAGTCTTGTATACATTAATTTCTGTACAGACAATATTAGGCAAGTTCTTGCCCTTCGT